TCTGAATCAGAATGTGCTGATCGACGGGGCAGTCGCTATTGCGTTCCAGATTTCTGCCCCTGGTATCCCTGCATTAGGGTATTAGGGTCGGTAGTCGCTTCAGCACTCAACCCGATCAGACTTAGCTCTACCAAAGAGCAGTGCTTCCACTTCTCACAAGAAATTTGAGAGAGAGAGAGAGAGAGAGAGCATCAGATACGGGAGAAACTGCCACGCATTGGATCCTCACTTCAGAATAGCTTTCTTTTCTTCCTTGCATTTAACAGTGATCCGCGGTCAGAGTCAAATGCCTTCAGATTTTACCAACTTCAGCCAAATTTTTATCGTCTTTCGCAGTTTCATATAATTGCTCATTACATCGAGCTGAATTTTCATTGACTTCTACTTTCCTCTCTTCCCTGAGCATATTGAGTTACATTTTTAAAGCATTAGTCAGCCCTTCCTTTCATTTACTAAGCCTGTATTCGATAAGCTTTCAGTAACTGGGGTTACATGTAAAGTGCCCCTTTCTTTCGACGGTATTTTGGGTACTGTGCTTTAAGGGGACATCGCACATTCATGAATATTATTAGTTGAGTTTCCGCATTACAGATGCATTGATGATACACGATTAAGGGCATTAAACCAGTGAGAAGTTGGCACCTACAGTACCAACGCGTTTCCCTGCACACTATATACCATAGTAAGCTGTTCAGCTGACGTTCATTTCTTTTCAGGATGGCCAAGCGTTCCGCTTCTATGGAAGTTCTTCGTCCGTTACTGACAAAATCCTTGACTCTTCTGAGATCCATCCACTTGCTCCGTTTGATGCTACCCATCGCCTAACTTTGAGCAGCGCCTCAGGGTTTCGGTGAGCTTCTCATAGTCATCGTCACAGCTGCCTTTCAAGCTCCGGTGTTAGCTGGAATTGCGCTCTTCGACTACCTCCTGGTCGAATAGTTTTGGTGGTTGACTTTAGTTATTTGTCATCTGCAGTGCCTTTTCCTCCGTCTCACCTCGACAGCTTGCCTCGACCGCACCAGTATGTGATCGTCGCTAGTGTTAATTTGTGGCATTACTGTGTGGTTTTGGATGATGCGACGTTTCTCGAAGGGGGTGATTCGATTTTTATGTTCTTCGTCGCGTTGTGCGCCATTCATGTCCATCTGCTGTTCGTCTTTTCCTTGAACGAGGTGGTGCCAAGGGTGTTTCATTTCTGCCATTGATATCATACGGTCTCTTCAGCCATTTCGCTCGCCAGAGCCAGAGCCATACCTACCTACAAACATTTCATCAGCGCTTCCTCATCGGATTTATCAATGAGGTGTCCCGTGAAGAAGTTATTTGAGACCTTTGAAATCACTGTGTGTTTCAGCTCTTGCTAGAATTCTTCCACTTTATCTTCGTCAGCTCTACTTGTCGGTGGGCGCATAGGCTTGGACGATCTTCAACGTCCTCTTCTTCGTCCGCTGAATGTATGGTACGGCAATTCATAATGACTTTATACGGCAGGAAATGAATTTGGAGGACCAAATTTGCCGACAACAAATTCGGTTCCATCTCTTGTTCCTACTTAAATCTAGCTACTGTCTCTTCAGATGTCATTTATTCCTTTTCCCCTGTCGTATCTTGCAGTGGTCAGTGATCTTCCAAGCAATCCTGTGTTTTTCCTCCATTAATTGGTTTGAAATTTCTTCCCTCATCAGTGTTCTGCAGCTGTAGGTGCAAACAGCGAGGAATTTGGGTTCGTTTAACAGATGGCGGCCTTTCATTCGAGATTTTTAGCGCGTTTAGTCAGTCGAATACCGAACCGCCGTCGTGGAATGGACCGAGAAACTCACAGGGTAGTGTGGCCAATTTATTCGAGATTTCATTGGGCATGAAGACTTACTACTCACCTTACCAGTTTAGGAAGACCAGACGCAGTTGTGTCCTCAAATTCCGTCTGGTTTCTGTATCGAAGTTGTCTCTTCAAACCTATGACGAACCGACGTCTAACCGCAAGGCAGTGATGACACTGGCGGCATTATTTTCGTCAGAGAAGCCGGTCGCATTTGCCTCAACATAAGGCGGTCATTTTGCACCGTGACCCTTTCCCTAAGGACTGAATTTGTCGAGCTCAAACCTCGCCATACCCTGCAAGCCTTACCTCTGCCTATCAGCGACCGCTTTGTGGCAGCTAACCTCAATATCTGGAGGTCGTTCCCTTATTCGCAATCGAGGGATGCGCTAAAGGCCATCAGTTAGGCCCACTGGTGTGATTGACACGGTGGAATTCTCTATTCTCTGCAAGCTTATTAGACGGAAGCTGAAGTAGGACTGTCGGAGACCTTCCGCTTGCAAAACTTAGAGCAAACAGCTGAAGACATCAGAAGCCTCAGACATTGCAGGAAAAAGTTAGCGCCTCATCAGTCGATTGCCGCACTGAAGAACGGGGATCAGACATCTGTAACGTGTCACAGAGCTGAGATGCAGTCCATATGTCAGAATGCTTACTCCCAGCTGTTTTCGTCACAGACACGGGTTCCCTACCATCATTCCAACAGCAAGAAGGATATGCACTTCCGCTCTTCATGTGTGAAATTCGGATTGGTGTGCTGCGAATGAATGAAAGCAGAGCACCAAGGAGAGACGGCCTAACAAGTGAATGATCAGAGTAGGTGGTCAGAAGCATTATAGGACTCTAGCGATGAGGTTAAATTAAAACCTGGAAACGGAACGGATACCGTCAAGCTGGAAGGAGTGAAAAGCAATCGTACCGTTCAAGAAGGCAGGTAGTGAGAAGGAAGATCTGAAGATTTGTCGCTGAATCTGCCTGCTCACACAAGTTTACAAGCTGTTCACTACGATCATCGGTAACAGACTGTCAACAAGTCTAGACGAAACAACAGCGAAGAGAAAACGCATGATTCTGAGGGAGCTACAGCACAAGGAATAACATATTTACCTTAAATTAACTGCTCTAGAGTTTGAGGGAATTCTAGCTCCCTGTGTGCATTGCCTTAACATTAACTGCTAAAGGAAGCGAACTGCTGCTTCTTCACAAACATCACACTGTTCGACACCCCTTCGAATTCCCGTAAGAAACAGGGTGAAGGCAGACGACACAATTTTCCCCAAAACTCGTCACTGTCAGCTGGGAAGTGAGTTTCAGAGAAAGAACGGAAAGGTGGGACAAACACCATTGATGAACACGTCAGTCACCCAAGGTACGCTGATGATGCGCGCGGTGCTGTTTACGGAAAACGTCAGTCAGCTATACGACCTGCCGCACGAGGTTGAGGAAAACGGGGTAGAATTCTGACTGCGAATCAATTGGTCGAGGTCAAAGGTACCGCGATCAGATAGCCTGCCTGAGATCAACATGAAACATAATCAAGCTGCATAGAGTCAAGGAGGATCGGTGGCTCGCGTTCTATTTCATCAAGTGCTTTCAACCGGGCGATATCAGAAAGGAAATCTGCACCCACACAATCAATTCTACCGTCCTGCCGGAAATGTTGCATGGCTGTTTGATTTGGTCGATCACTATGGCCGAAGAGCGCCACCTGTCTGTCATTGAGGTTGCCATGGAAAGAAGAACGCTGAGAAAT